AAACTTCCATCATATCATAGATTTTTCCTTCTTGCCTTCTGAAAGGCGAAGTTTCTTTCAAAGCATAAGGAAATGGAGCTTTTGGCTCATAAGACCTTGCAACTTGAAAGGATGATGAAGAGGGTTGAGAATTCTTGATAATGACACTTTCATCTAAGGAAGTAGGAGTATGATTGAAATCGGGGCGAGTGTCAACTTTTGGTTGCATTGGTTCACTAACTTCACTTGATTTTTCCACCCTATTGTCAATTTGCTTGCCACTTCTCAAAGTAGTAATGGCTTGCACTTGTTCTTGGGAAGGACACCCCGATATAGAGTTTGCTTTCACAAAATATTGGGTTTTTGGGTTCCTTTCGGGTTGGCTAGGCAATTTACCAATCTCTCTCGCATTTAATGCATTAGCTATCATCCCGATTTGGGATTCAAGCTTTGATATCGATTGAGAATGAGAATGCAACAAATTAGTGTTCAATTCCAAACTACCCAAAGCCACCAAAACTTTATCTTCAAATGTGGAATTGCTAGAATGTGGATGAGGATAATTAAAACTACTTTAAGAATTATAAGCTTGAGGATGAGAGAAATGATTCATTTTTTGATGGTAAGAGGAAGATGAAGCAAATCCTTTTGAACCTTTATTCTTTTGATGAGGAGGAATATATCGGTTTTGAAAATTTTTAGCTTGAAAAGGATTGGAATGTTCACTCCACTTCAGAACATAAGCATTCGAAATAAGGTGAGCAAATGCGGCATTGACTTATTCGTAGTGTTCATCAAGCGCATGTCCACGGGGACAATTGGAAGTAGTGTGCAATACACTTGAATAAGTAATGCATGGCTTACAAGAATGATGAAGATGGTGATTAAGAAGGGGAGATGATTGAGTTACCAGTTTTTGACTCAATAGAAATTGATCAAGTTTTTGAGTGAAAGTTTTGACCTCGGCAACAATCTCCATTGGACTCTCAATTTAACATACTTTCAAATTTCTCTTTTTGTTAATAGAATCATGACTCAACCGAGAAGTGTGAAACTTATGCAATGAATTTTCGCTCATTTTCTCAAAAAGGTGCCAAACATCATCCTTATGTTTTTTGAAATATGAACCCCCACATGATGAATCAACAATTTTCTTATGAGTGTCGGATAGGTTTTCATAGAAATATTGAACCACTTGCCATTTAGGAATGCCATGGTGTGGGCATTTCCTTAACAAGTCATTCAATCTTTCACAAGCCTCATATAAAAGTTCTCCTTCCCCTTGAGAAAATTCTCTAATGGCGGTTCTCATTGAATTGGTCAAACTTACGGGATAAAAATTTTTCAAAAATTCATTTTGCATTTGTATCCAAGAAGTTATTGAATTTGCCCCCAAGTTGTTGAGCCAAAGTTTCGCCTTATTTTTAAGAGTAAATGGGAAGGAAGGTAACCTAAGAACTTCCTCCGGGACATTCATGTATTTCATGGTGGAATATATCTCAAGAAATTCATCAAGATGTTTGTAAGGTTCCTCATCATTTAAGCTATAGAAAAGTGGACACATTTGAATAGTCTCGGGCTTAATTTCATAATGATTTGCCCCAAAATTAGGAGGCATGATGCAAGTTGGTGCATGATATTCATGAAGGTTGTAATGATCACGAAGGATCATTGAAGGAATTGGAGCTTGAATTCCGGGAGGAAATTGGTTGAAAAGCGGATGTTCCATGAAATTCGGGTCTAAATAACCAATATGACCCTCTAGATTTTCCATTAGAATGATGAAAGGTTGATTAAAACTATACAAAAATCAAGTAACACAATAACAAAATCAACAAAGCAAGCACTTTGCCCTCGTAACAAATCAATCAACCAGTCTCCACATACATTGGTCCCGTACTCCCATGCTTTCAACAATATGCAAAGAAAAGTAAGTTGCCTCCACGCGGGCTCACGATTTATCTAAGAAATTAAGAACTTGCCACCACGCGGGCCGACGATTTAACTAGAGATTGAGTTAAGAAAAGCTCACAAAGGGTCCTTAAGCAACTTCAATTCATTTTTCAATTTTCACTTAACTTTGCAAATTTTTTAGATTTTTGCAATTTTATGCTTAGCTTGGCTCCTTGCTTTTCAATTTTCCCTTGCTTGACTTTCTTTTGCTCAATTCACCTAGCCAATCAAGAACAAACACAATAAGTAACTAAAAATAAAATAAGATAAAAACACGATAAAAAAAGTACTAATTCCTAATTATTTCCAAAACACGGCGTTGCCAAATCAATCATCGGCAACGGCGCCAAAACTTGGTGCGTGGTCGTCGCGACACCCCAAATTGCATACAAAAGTGTGGCCAAGTTTAAATTTATAAAGTGCCACTACTAACTTTAACTACTAATATAGCTAGGGTAAGTAGGGATCGTCCCAAGGGATCGAATGCGCGTTCGAAATAGAAACAAGGTTGGATTAGTAGGTCAAGTGATCAAAAGATGGTTTGATTGATTAATTAAACTACAATATAGATAAATTTCATATAAAACAACTAAAATAAATAAAGGGTAGAGAACAAGAGTAAGGAATCTTGGAATTTAGAGGTCACCACTAAACATCACCATTTTAGATACTTAATATGTTATGAATGAGGGGAAATATATGTTGCAATATAAGAAGGTGTGATTGAGTGGATCAACAAGCATTGATTGACTAATTAAGCATACATTGTCTAGACAACCTAGTGAATAGCACAATATATCTATCTAAGCCATTATTCCTTCCATTAAACTCACAATCAATACACTAATAAGTTAGAGAATTATACTACTTGCATTCATAAGTATGAACCATCAAACAACAAGCATGGATTGTCCTCACATCTAAGAAAGTAAAGCAAATACACTACAACTAAGCTGGAGACATGAAAATTAAATTAACTAAACTAAGATAGAGGCACAATCCATCAAGAAATGAGTATGAACCATCAAACAAACCACAAGAGTATTCTATTTAGGCACTATGCCTTGACAATCTCTAGATTCATAACATCAACACACATAAACATGCATTAATATCACAAAACCAAGAGATAAACACGTGAACATCTATTCTAGCATACATAGACATATGAATAGAATTAAATGATCAATTGAAAGTACTAAACAACACAAATCATTGTAAAAACAAGATTTATATATAGATCAAGTGTTAAGACAAAATTACAACACAAATCCCCTCAAAATACAAAACACCAAGATCTAGAAGGCATGCTTAGGGCTAACTCTAGTCCCAAGAAGATGTTTAGCCGCTCATTAATGAAGTCATCTAACCCTCAAGGGTCATCTCCATGGTAGGAAGTATTTTCTCCTTGATGAAATCCCTAAATGAATGGAAGAACTCCCGAGTAGTGTATGTCTCTCTAATCTCTAGGCTCTCTCCTCTTCTCCTATGTATGATAGATGATCTTCTATATGATATATGTAAAAATTGCTCAAAATCCTTATATAGGTAGCTCAAGTGTCACACCAAATGGTCAGGTCTCAGCACTAGGGTCCTCTCAATGATTGCACCCCGAGCCATCTTTAAATGAGTTGGACTCTGTTTTATTTCGGATTTAAGGAGGTTCGATCGATTGAATTGTGATAAGATCGATCGAAGAATGGACAGATCGATCAAAACTTGGCCGGATCTATCAAACCTTGGCGGCGCCTTTTTGGAATAAGACAAGTCTGAGATATTTTTGGGATATTTTGGGAAAAAAACAAAAGTGGTAGGTGGGGATAAGATCAAAGAACTTCGATCGATCGAAATGAAGGTTGGATTGATCGAAGATAGATATTCAAGAGGATAAGGACAAGGGGTTTGATCCATATTGGTGAGGTTGGATCGATCATTGTGAGATCGATCGAAAATATTTCTGATCGATCGAACCTTGCTGTTTTTCCACTACTTTGCTCCTTTTTGCTCCTTTCTTCCATTCAGCTTGAGATAGCTTCTTTTATGTTCTAATTTGGCTGAATTGACTTATTTTAGGGATAAGTACCTGAAAAGGGTAATAACACGAAATTAATCTAAAACGGGATAATAAGATAGATAAAGGTTCTAGAATACCCAAGTTTAAGGGGTTTAAATGTGCACTTTTCAACGTTCATCAGAACTTTAATATTTTGTAAATATAATCTTGACTATTTTGTAAAACTTTAGTATAATTTGTATAACGTTGTAAATTATGGACTTTTAATTTTAGCTGTATTTCATAGACTGTAACTTGATGTAATTAAGTGCGTTCCTGGTAAAAGATTATGAGACTAGGCAGTGGACTGGTATTTCTATGTTTTGAATGAATCGGAGGAACGAGAATTTTTTTTTTTATATGTATGTTGTTGATTTTGTAAATGTTGTATATCTTTTTTTTGCATTATGTGTTGGACATGTTAGATTAGTTGTAAGGCCAAGTGAGCCATTGCATTTTGTGTACATTTCACATGCTGTAGTAGGATTTTTTTTGCGAACTTTTTATTTTTTATTTTTTTTTAAAACTTTTATTTGTTCGGTGGACTGGTATTATTTTGGGTGGTTACACTTTCCTCAACCTAGTGAGATACTATTGCAATTGTTCAAACCAACTTTACATTGTATTTATATTTTAAAATATAATAATAATAAAAATAAAGAGGAAGAAGTGAATTTCATTATTGAGATTTACATGGGATTAAAGCTGAGAACTTTTTAAATAAATAAATTTGAATATATATATATATATATATTTAATTATTATTTATTTATTTTAGGTAGAGCTGTTTCGTTATAGTCCCGAATAGACTCTAACATTTTTTATTTTCTAACTTTTTACCTTTATTAATAAAAAGATTTACGTAATTTTCAAGCCATTGAAAAAAGTTTTGTACTACTGTATTTTGTCAGTGCTATTAACAGACACGTGTCCCACTCGTATAATAAAATTCAAAATATTTCAAACTACTATAAAAACATCCTGGGCGCCAAGATCGCAGAGAGGTGATAGAGATTCATCATTTCCGCTTCGAGAGGAGAGAGAGAGAGGAGTTGCAGAGGAGATGCAGAGCTAGACATCTGAGTTTCAATGGCGAGGAAGACCGGCGAGATTCTTCAGGTGAATGCATAATTATTCTTGCTAGATTGATTTGTACGATTAGGCTACAGATCAATTAGGTTACATTAATGTGTAATTAGGCTCGATCTATTAGGTTACACTGCTATGTGTAATTAGGCTAGATCAATTAGCTTACATTGTATGTGTAATTAGGCTAGATCAATTAGGTTACACAGATATGTCATTAATTAATTTGAAACATGCTTTCCTTCGTCGTTTTGTTTCTCTCTCTGTATGCAAGTCTCTCTCTCTCTCTCTCTATATATATATATATATATGTATTTGTGTATATGTGTCTTGAAGATACGTTTCTCTGTATTTATGTAAATTTCTCTCTAGATGCTTGTGTATATTTGTGTTTTTGTCACACTATATTTGCAAATCTCTCTACAGATGTATATATATATATTCTGTCGATGTGTGTGTCTCTTGCATTGCTGTTTCTCTCTCTACCATGTAAATCTGTGTGTGTCTCTCTCTATATACGTGTGTACATGTGTGTGCCTTGGTTATGTATATACACATATATATTTATATATATACTTGGAGGCTCCAAAACTAATTTTCTGGCATCTAATATTGTCACACCATTTTGGACCAAAAACAGTAGTATAATATTTCATGATATGATTCAAAGAAGAGATTGAATGTTCGAGTTTTGTTAGATGCAATATTATAGGCGTGTGTTTGCTTGAAATTTTAGGGGAAAAATGTTTAAATGCATGTTTAAAATTAATTAATGAAGTTTACTTTGCCTTATATAGAAAGAACATCAATGTAAATTGTCTTTATCAACATAATACACAATTTACCACTTGAGATCGTACTTATGGATTTTCAGCTGCAAATATAATACACAATTTACCACTTGAGATCGTATTGATCAATTTCCATCTGTCTTTGGAGCTGAAAATCCATATGCATTAGTTCTTTCCGTAGATTTTTCAAAAGCTTCCTCTTATAAGGACAACTCACATGTTAATATTAGTTAAAACTATAAGAAAAGTTACCACACAGCCTTTTGCTTCCACACACTCCTCTTTCTTGTGCGCTACCATTGCTTCTATAAATTGTTCATTGACCCTTTTATAATGTTTGTTGATGTTGTTAGGGTATGCTCTCCAAATGGCCAAAAAGGAGTGTTTCCATCGTCACCTCTCCTACCCAAACCCTACCATTGCTTCTAAAAACAAACAATCCCCTCTTGCTTGTTACCCCATCAACCCCTAAACTCATGCTACCAGCTGCTGCACCATACAACCCTCTCTTCCTGCATCCTTTCATCACTCCCCCCTACCCAAAGTTTTTCTCCACACCTAGTTTCTTCATCCCACCGCCCCCTTACCTGTGTGTTGTTTGTGCTTATCTCAACAAACCGATGATAGATTGGGGTTCTAAGAAGAGAATGGAAACACATCATCAAGAGCCATATTATAGGCGTAACAGTGAGAGAGGAGGAGATAATTACCTAAGGTACCATTTCCCTGGCAATTGTTGTGGTTCTTGTGGGAATGGATTCAAGGACAAGCACCTGCAAGAGATGCATGAGAGCTACTGTCTTCGCCGTTGGTATGACAACTGTTGATCATTTCATTTTCCATATCTAGTTTCCATCTTCTGTTGAACATTTAATACTAGCTTACAGTAGATACACAGTTGTTTTTCCAGTGTTTTACAGAATTATATAGTAAACCGGAATAATCAGATATGCTTGTAGTGTCCAACAGTACTTTTCACACTTCCAGAAGAGTCCATGTAATACAGGCTTTGAAAGGATAATCTTTTATCAGTTTTTGGTTTGGTATGATCTGTAGTATTGTGTATATGAGTCTTGCTTTCCTTATTCAGTCTTTCTTTAGTCCTGGAAATGGTTTACTTTTGGTGTTCATGTGCTGGGATCCGTTAGTTATCAGTAGTTTGGGAGAGTGGCAATTCCTTTTATACTGCCAGTACAAATATCTAGTTCTGGTTGTTGCTGTTCCAGAGCTGCTGCCTAAGCTTTTTGATTGGGAGTCCTTGGTTTGTCAATATTATTATTTTTTAATTTCTGGTTTTTGGAAGTGGTTTTTTCTTCTTTATGTATCTCAGTTGAGTGGTTGAATATGCTGTATTATGACTGCTTGTTCTTTTGGCATGAGGTTCTGGCCTGTTGTTTGTTGCCTTGGTATCACTTGATAAAAAGATGATTTAGGACAAAAATACTCGAAGTTACGTAACTAATAACATAGAATAGAAATACATGTCGTGACGAAACATTTGTTGACCCCATTCACTTGGGATTAAGACAAGAATGATGCAACAGTGATATATAAAACTCTTAATATCTAATGATCTCCTTCATTAGAGCAAGTTACTTAGGACTATATTCAATTAGGGATGAGTGAATTATTATGTGAAAAAAAAAAATTCTTCAGATACTTAATATGGAGCCCTTTATTTTGAAAGAATATAATATATTTTCAAAGAATAATCTCCTCTTTATCCCCATGAGTAGCTCAATTGGCGAAAGACTTTTGGGACCAAAAGTGACTTAACATAAACTCTTGGGAACATCAAACTTCGGTTTTAGGTTTACTAGATAGTTTGAATTTAAAATAATTAGATACTCGTTGTTTGAAAGTGATTGCTGATGTCAAAAGGGAATAGTTCACTCACTCCCTAAGGGGTTGAGAACACCCTCTTGGTTAAACTTTTCGATATCAATGAACTCAAGTGGAACTAACCCATTTGACCTAATGATTTTCAATTATTATTCTAGATGCAGTCCAATTGACATAGTTTCAGCTTCGTCAATTATTTCTTCATGAAGTACATGGCATTAATGGCACGTGGACCAAAAAATGAATCTCAAATCATGAATATATTACATGAAATGAATATAGTTAGTAATATTTGCATTTCCAAAATATACTTTGGCGTTGCTCCATTCATACTCTTATCTAAAATGAAAAGACAAAGATATCCTTATACTTTAAGTTGTAAGCCACTTCCATGCACCATTATATACTGTCATGACAAGTATCTAGTTCTGGTTGTTGCCGTTCCAGCGCTGGTGCCTGAGCTTTCTGATGAGCTGTTGGGAGTCCTTGCTGTGTTATTTTTGTTTTTAATCTCTGGTTTTTGGAAGTTTTTTTTTTCTTCTTTATGTATCTCGTGGTTGAATATGCTGTATTATGACTGCTTGTTTTTTGGCTTGAGGTTCTGGCCTCTTGTTTGTTGCCTTGGTATGGCATAATAAAAAGATGATTTAGGGGGAAAAAAAATACTCGAAGTTATGTAACCAATAACATAGAATAGAAATAGATTCTGTGATGAAACATTAGTTGACCCCATTCATTTGGTATTAAGGCAAGAATAATGCAACAGTAGACCAATTTGCCTTTAGGAATATATTTAATTAGGGACGAGTGAAATTATTTTGTGAAAAAAAAAAAGTAATAATCTTCAGATACGTAATATGGAGCCCTTTATTTCGAAAGAATATAATATATTTTCAAAGAATAATCTCCTCTTTATCCCCATGAGTAGCTCAATTGGCGAAAGACTTTTGGGACTAAAAGTGCCAAAAGTGACTTAAACTCTTGGGAACATCAAACTTGGTTTTAGGTTTACTAGATAGTTTGAATTTAAAATACTTAGATACTTGTTGTTTGAAAGTGATTGCTGATATCAAAAGGGAATAGTTCACTCACTCCCTAAGGGGTTGAGAACACCCTCTTAGTCAAACTTTTCTATATCAATGAACTCAAGTGGAACTAACCCATTTGACCAAATACTTTTTAATTGTTATCCAAGATGCAGTCTAATTGACATAGTTTCAGAATCGTCAATTATTTCTTCATTAAGTACATGGCATTAATGGCACGTGGACAAAAAATGGATCTCAAATCATTAATACATTACATGAAATGATATTTGTGTTCCTAAAATATACTTTGGCACTCATAAACTTATCTAAAATGAAAAGACCAATATGTTCTAAACTTTAAGTTATAAGCCACTTCCATGCACCATTATATAGTATTTCTTCTGATTGTAAAATAAAAAATGACAGATTGAATTTAATTTTGCTGAAGAAAACTTAGTACCTTTGTTTGCTCAATAAAAGTAATTTTTGATGCAAAGTAATGCTACTTTTGTCCTTTTTCAATTTTTTACACAAAATTGTAGTGAAGGGAAACAAATCCCCAAATGGTAGCCAAGTAAACGATGCAGAAACAGTGTGACCTATCTGTACAGACTATAAACTATAGACTAGACTTAAATTTCGATAATGAAATGAGTCATTAACTAATTTTTGGTTGGTTAGTGGTGCAGAACCATTAAGAACTTACACAAATTAAATTTCAATTATTATCGAATTTGAATCAACAAATTTTTAAACTGACCTGAATATGCAAAGTACATAGAGGTTGTGTGTGCGAGCGAGAGAGAGAGAGAACCTCCCCATGTGGTCTACGAAACTACTTCCAAAATCCTTCTAGCACCTTTCATATTGATAAACACCATAACTTTCTCATAGTCGACCACAAAGCATTAAGATTATACATAAAATAGCACAAACATTGGGATTGTTAAATTCTATTGAACTTGGCACCAAGGACCAAGATACCAACCAAAGCCCTGAAAGGCTGAAACAAGATATGACAACTTCATTGCTTTATCCCATGAATTTAGCATGTTGGACTTGATGATCCATCACAACGGTCAGCTGGTCTGGCACGTAGCCTCAAAGCTCTGGGCATAAGTGCTTAAAAACAGGATTGGAGTGGAGGCATATGTCCACTATACATCAGATTAGAAATGAAATAAACCCATTTCCAATACAAAGAATACCAAAAAAACATCAAATACAGTCAGCTGACCACCAACTATAAGGCATACCAATCAGATGAAGAGATGGCAGACAGGTCCAAAACCTCGCAAACAGCAGTCCACTTTGAATGATATTCCAAACAGCAGTAAAAAACATTCTGAATAATGAGTTCCTCTCAGATCCCACTTGGAATGATAAATTGTGCAAAAGAAACCAAATGAGGAATGAGCCAACCAGCAAAGCTAGCAATCCATGACCAAACTTCAGAGTCAAACCTGCAGGTTTAAAAAACGTGGTCTGTAGTAAACATGACCAACCAAGAAATGACCAAGGAACTTGTGGATTTCTAATTCTGATATCATTCCCCACTGATCGAAATGAACACCTGCCAGTAGACCAGGAAATGGCATCCCCTCTGTTGGATATTGGAACCCTAGTGATAAAATTCCAAACATCCTCATTAGCAAGTTGATGTGGCCTAACCCATGAATTTTGATGAATAATGTTATTAACAGTGGCATCCCTTCTGATTCCAAATTTTCTCACAATTCTATGCCCAAATCTCGACACAAGAGATTGACAACTTAAAAGAGAAACCAGATCCAATTCTAAAAGTAATATGCATTAAGAGACTCTCCCTAGCACCTAACAATAACTTTTAAAGGGGAGAATGAGATTGAGAGGAAATAACATTCCAAAAGGAACAGTTATGTGCATATCTTCTTTTACACCAATTAATCCAATTCTATGTACCACTCCACAAGTCTATCTCCTCACTACTAGTGACCCTAGGTGTTTTCCCTACCCTATCAACCCATAAAATATATCTACCCATCAACCCCATCATGAGACTACATCTCTCTCAATCTCATAAATATCAACCCATAACCTAGTTTCCTATTTATAGAGTTCCAAACTCAATTCCTTGTTGGACAAGGATTACAATTCCTTGGAGACCAAGACTTGTCAAACAAGAAATTCCTAAACTAAAAGAAAAACATAATTACATTAGGACTTAGAGACACAATTTTCAACATAATCCCATGTCAGCAAACATTGGGCTGTTTTACTCCATAAGTTTCCTCAATCCATATCTACCCTCTGAAACAGAAGACCATTTGAGCAAATGCAATTTTCCTGTACACATTTTTGTCTCCCCATAAAATGGCTTTAATCTTCTTCTATAGAATGTGGCTCACATTGGAAGGAAGAACAATAGTAGAACACCAATATTACAGAAATGATTGCAAGACTGATTTACATAATTCAAATCTCCCTAAAGACAACAAAATTATTCCAACTAGAAATCTTCTTGTCAAACTTAACAAATAAAGGTGCAAAATCAGCTGTTTTCAATTTCTTAAAGTGGATGGGCAGACCGAAATAAGTTGCAGCAAATAACCCTACTTTAAAATTAAGAATTATATTCAAGCTTCTTTTCCTTCTCACAGCTTTTGAGAAGTAAATAACACTCTTCTCGGCATTGACAGCCAACCCAGAAGCAAGATAAAATTGGTTAAGAGACTGAACAATACAACTAGTAGTAGAGATGACCAGCTTTAGTCTATCATGCTTAATGGATTTCCACATGGTCTTTTCCAACCTGGGAAGGGACTAAAGCAGGGCTGTCCCTTATCTCCACTTTTATTCACTTTGGAAACAGAATATTTTTCTAACATGTTGCAACAAGAGATGAGCAGGGGTGCCATTCATGCTTGTCATACTGTTGAGAGGTTAAATCTTCATGCCACTCACATGTTTTATGCTGATGATTTAATTACCAAGAAGAGTGGAAGCACTCTCTAATCCAATCTATCCACTTAACACCAAACCCATAGTTTTCTAAAAGCTTAAAATGGAACTCCCAAGGAATGGAATCATAGGCCTTCTTGAGATCTAATTTGAGGACCACAAAAGGATGTCTAGGAGACTTAAAACCCCTG